ATAACTTTAATCATATGTACATTCTAACAGTGAAAGACAGAATCCCAAAGAAAATTCCAGAAAATCACATCATATGAATTTATAAAAATTGATAACCATCTGATGAGGAAAAATAAGCATTCTTTGTAAGTGGGCAAACCTGCAAAATCAGCAAGGGCTCAAATACTTATTTCCTCCACTGTATGTTTTATTTAAAGGAGAATTTATCGACACTTAAAAGCAACGTACACAGATACACAAAAAAAGCATCAAGAGAAACAACAATAAAATCAGTAAAATAAACAGAAGCCATGGAGATATCAGATGGAAAAGTAGTCTAAACAGATGTGTTTTGAATTGCTAAATGTATAATATTTGCTTCATACGGTTTCTAAAACCTTTTGTATAATTTAATGGTAAAAACTTTGCTCAAAATCCTATTGAACACAATCAGATACACCTGATAACAGGGGGCAGAAGACTAAACAATAAATAATCTTGACTTATCGCATAGTAATAAATTATTAATATTAAAAATGTATTTCTGTTTTTTCTTTTTACATATTTTGTTAAAAGGCCAAATAAGGAATTCAAACAAAAAAAAAGTCATTTTCTGTTTTGTTTTATTCTTGGATCGGGCTTTAAAGGGTTAATAACTGCCTGAATGCTAAAATATCCGATTTTGAACCCGTCTTCTCGGCTTTGGATCAATAAAAACATTTTCAGATTGAAGGCAAAACAAGAAAATGGCCAAATGTGGAATCTAGGAATTTATTTAGAACAATAATGATCTATTATAGAATTTCTTTTACTGAAATCAGCAAAACATCAACAACATCAATCAATCAATCAATCAAGTTTATTTGTATAGCCCTTTACAATACCCAAATGTTACTCAAAGTGCTTTACAACAAAGCCATAAAACAATACAAAAAACATAGAAAACATGCAGAAACAACTAAAAGTGAATAAAGGGAAGAACTTCCTGGTGTGAGCGGTAAACCGGGCGGTTTTATAACTGCACAGACGCTCTTTGTTCTGGTCTCAGAGTGAAACAATCAGAGGGCCTGTCAGAGTCTCTGT